GGTATGTGGTTGTTGGTGAGTATTTGCTTCAGGTTGGGGAGCTGTCTGTAGGAAAGGACTGGCCTGTCTCCCAAGATTTGTGAGAGTGTTGGGTCATCCTTCAGGATAGGTTGTAGATCCTTAATAATGCGTTGGAGGGGTTTTAGTTGGGGGCTGAAGGTGACGGCTAGTGGCGTTCTGTTATTTTCTTTGTTAGGCCTGTCCTGCAGTAGGTGACTTCTGGGAACTCTTCTGGCTCTATCAATCTGTTTCTTCACTTCCGCAGGTGGGTACTGTAGTTGTAAGAATGCTTGATAGAGCTCTTGTAGGTGTTTGTCTCTGTCTGAGGGGTTGGAGCAAATGCGGTTGTATCGCAGAGCTTGGCTGTAGATGATGGATCGTGTGGTGTGGTCAGGGTGAAAGCTGGAGGCATGTAGGTAGGAATAGCGGTCAGTAGGTTTCTGGTATAGGGTGGTGTTTATGTGACCATTGTTTATTAGCACTGTAGTGTCCAGGAAGTGGATCTCTTGTGTGGACTGGACCAGGCTGAGGTTGATGGTGGGATGGAAATTGTTGAAATCATGGTGGAATTCTTTTCCATGGGTCCAGATGATGAAGATGTCATCAATATAGCGCAAGGAGAGTAGGGGCGTTAGGGGACGAGAGCTGAGGAAGCGTTGTTCTAAATCAGCCATAAAAATGTTGGCATACTGTGGGGCCATGCGGGTACCCATAGCAGTGCCGCTGATCTGAAGGTATACATTATCCCCAAATATAAACTAGTTATGGGTAAGGACAAAGTCACGAAGTTCAGCCACCAGGTTAGCCGTGACATTATCGGAGATAGTGTTCTTGACGGCTTGTAGTCCATCTTTGTGTGGAATGTTGGTGTAGAGGGCTTCTACATCCATAGTGGCCAGGATGGTGTTATCAGGAAGATCACCGATGGATTGTAGTTTCCTCAGGAAGTCAGTGGTGTCTCGAAAGTAGCTGGGAGTGCTGGTAGCGTAGGGCCTGAGGAGGGAGTCTACATAGCCAGACAATCCTGCTGTCAGGGTGCCAATGCCTGAGATGATGGGGCGCCCAGGATTTCCAGGTTTATGGATCTTGGGTAGTAGATAGAATATCCGAGGTCAGGGTTCCAGGGGTGTGTCTGTGCGGATTTGATCTTGTGCTTTTTCAGGAAGTTTCTTGAGCAAATGCTGTAGTTGCTTTTGGTAACTCTCAGTGGGATCAGAGGGTAATGGCTTGTAGAAAGTGGTGTTGGAGAGCTGCCGAGCAGCCTCTTGTTCATATTCCGACCTATTCATGATGACAACAGCACCTCCTTTGTCAGCCTTTTTGATTATGATGTCAGAGTTGTTTCTGAGGCTGTGGATAGCATTGTGTTCTGCACGGCTGAGGTTATGGGGCAAGTGATGCTGCTTTTCCACAATTTCAGCCCATGCACGTCGGTGGAAGCACTCTATGTAGAAGTCCAGTCTGCTGTTTCGACCTTCAGGAGGAGTCCACCTAGAATCCTTCTTTTTGTAATGTTGGTAGGGAGGCCTCTGTGGATTAGTATGTTGTTCAGAGGTATTTTGGAAATATTCCTTGAGTCGGAGACATCGAAAATAGGATTCTAGGTCTCCGACTCAAGGAATATTTCCAAAATACCTCTGAACAACATACTAATCCACAGAGGCCTCCCTACCAACATTACAAAAAGAAGGATTCTAGGTGGACTCCTCCTGAAGGTCAAAACAGCAGACTGGACTTCTACATAGAGTGCTATCATGCACATTGTAGGGAGAGTGGTCACTTTGGATGAGCTATTACCAGCAGGAGAGTGAGTTTGTGTGTGTATGGGGTGGGGGGGTGAGAAAACCTGGATTTGTGCTGGAAATGGCCCACCTTGATTATCATGCACATTGTAGGGAGAGTGGTCACTTTGGATAAGCTATTACCAGCAGGAGAGTGAGTTTGTGTGTGTGTGTTTTGGGGGGGGGGGGGGGTGAGAAAACCTGGATTTGTGCTGGAAATGGCCCACCTTGATTTTCATACACATTGTAAGGAGAGTGGTCACTTTGGATAAGCTATTACCAGCAGGAGGGTGAGTTTGTGTGTGTGGTTTTTGGAAAAAAAAGGCGGGGGGGTTGAGAAAACCTGGATTTGTGCTGGAAATGGCTCACCTTGATTATCATACACATTATAAAGAGAGTGGTCACTTTAGATGGGCTATTACCAGCTGGAGAGTGAGTTTGTGTGTGGGGGGGGCGGAGGGTGAGAAAACCTGGATTTGTGCTGGAAATGGCCCAACTTGATTATCATACACATTGTAAGGAGAGTGATCACTTTAGATAAGCTATTACCAGCAGGAGAGTGGGGTGGGAGGAGGTATTGTTTCATGGTCTCTGTGTATATAATGTCTTCTGCAGTTTCCACAGTATGCATCTGATGAAGTGAGCTGTAGCTCATGAAAGCTTATGCTCAGATAAATTGGTTAGTCTCTAAGGTGCCACAAGTAATCTTTAATATGTTTATTCTCACAACCAGAGTGACCAGATCGCAAGAATAAAATACCAGGACGCATGGGGAGGGGGGTGGGGGGACAGCCACAGCCCCAACTGGAGCTGTGGGGAAGGGGGGGCACACAGCCCTAGGAAACTGTGAGGGGGGTGTACAGCCCCTTCTGCAGCCCCCGCCACAAGCCATGGGATGGGCTCATGGCCCTAGCTCCAACCCCCTGGCAGAAGCCACAGGGCAGGGGCACGGGGCCCAAAGGCAGCAATTAGGGGGGCAGGGGAGGGCAGGAGCCCCCCTCCACCCTCCCCCAGAGTTTCGTACAGGAGGTGTAGAAGCTCCCAAGTGGAGCTCTTAACTACAACCCAGCATTAGTGTGAAATGTAAGTTCTGCAGAGGAGAGGTGCTCCTGGGGTAGGGAGTCAGTATTTGGTTTACAAACAGAGGCAGAGTGATTAAGATAAGAAAGGGCTGGTGATTAAATTAAATATATGGAAGTTTAGCCTGTAAAAGAGGAATCCCTCTGTGGATGGGGGAGAGGGAGGAGGGGTTGTTTTAGGGCATGGCTACACTTGCAGATGTAGAGTGCTGGGAGTTAAACGCTGTGTTACAGTAACTCCCTTCTCTTCATGTGCCAATATATATTTATGCCTGTGTCTGTAATTTCCACTCCATGCATCTGAAGAAGTGGGTTTTTTACCCACAAAAGCTTATGCCCAAATATATCTGTTCGTCTTTAAGATGCCACCGGACTCCTCATTGTTTTTATGGACTTATCACATACACACCAAGTAAACTGTCTGGTGTTCAGTTTTTCTATTTCTGAAAAGAGGCAGCATGTTCTAATCCCTGGCCTGGCTGAGGATGCCAGGAGCTGGCAGCATGTTCTAATACCTGAGCCTGGCTGAGGATGCCAGGAGCTGGGAGCATGTTCTAATACCTGGCCTGGCTCTCCCAATGACCTTCATATGCAAACTCAGCCAAGTTATTTCACTGGGCCAAAATCAATCCTGGAGTAAGTGGCAGCCCTTTAAGTTTCTGGGCCAAAATGTCAAATTCAGTGGTGATGAGAACAGGGGTGAAGTGACGTGAAGGTGTAAGTGGTCCAAGCAATGGGGGTAAGTGGTAAAGTGACATGATTTGAACCAATCTGCCATTCAGCGGTTTTGGCAAATGAATGCAGTTTCCTTGCGGAGGAGGGGGAATGCATGTAGCAAGAAAAAGCAACAAAGGCCATGTCTACATTTACAGAAGCACATGGAGTACAGATGCTGCAAGCCAAACTAGCACTAGGAGTGTGGATGGTGAGGCACTGCTTCCTTAGATATACACCCTACCGGCTCTCCATGTGCCCAGGCCCGATACGTGCCCACGCAGTGCCTCCCATGGCTACACTGTTAATTTTAGACTGTAGACTGCTATTTTTAGCAGCGTAGCGCCCTGCTGCCAGAGCCTTTCCCCGCCATGATGAAAGGTTCTGGCAGTGGGGAAAGGCTCTGGCAGCTCCCCACTGCTGGAGCCTTTCCCACCTGCAGGGAGGAGCTGCCTCCCCCATACCAGAGCCTTTCATCACCTCATGTAGCTACACACCACAGTGTAGATGCAGCCTGCTTTTCACTGCAGCATGTAGCTACATTTACCCTACATGCTCCTGCAAGTGTAGACAAGGCCTAAAAGGAGGGTGTAAGAGAAATCGGCCCTGCCAGCTTTTTGTACATACTCCTTTTACTTGAAATCCACCCCACTGATCTTCAGGTCCACCTGCTCTGACCTGCTTTGTTTTAGGGTATGTCTACACTGAAAATAAATACACTCGGGTTAAAATAGCAGTGAAGACACAGCAACTCAGCTTTTAACGCAGGTTAGCAGCTTGCGTTCAACCCCAATCTCCTCTATAGGCCTATAGTCCAGCGTCTAACCTTAAAGGAGTTAAAAGGTGAATTGCGATTTCTTCACTGCTATTTTAACCGGAGTTAGCTAACCCAAGGTCAGAACACATCTTTTATTTGCAGTGTAGACATACCCTTACATGTTCCTGTTAGTGCCTTCCCCCAGTCACTCTCATTTTGCGCACTTATTAAATGTAATTTCAGTGCAAGCTACACTATTGTGTTAACACTCAACATTTAACCTTCTGTCCCTAAGGAACGATCCTGAAGTCTGTGTTCAACCAAACATCATATGGACTTCAGTGGGAGTTTTACCTGCATACGGGCTGGCCACTTTGGCTTCAAATGCTGCAAAGTGCTAAGCAACTCTTAGCTGTGTTGAGCATTCATTATTCTTATTGAGTTCACCTTGCAGGATCAAACTGCAGGGTCTATCCAGATTGTATTCTAATATAAGCACAAGGGAGAAGCTAAACATCTTAGTTATAGGATTTTTGAGGAACTGATCAAATTACCACATCAAAAGTATCTGGCAAGTCTAGAAAAATCGAGTTAATCAGAATGCACAGCAGATGGCATAAATTCAGCAGATGAAGTGGAAAGTTCCATATTTCCTCGGTGTCTGTAATCGGACAGGACTCTAGGTTAACTATAAAAAATTCACCATGGAAAATCCAAAGAGTTACACTGAAGATGAAATTTCGAGTGATAGCAAAATGTTCACCATGTCAGACAAGATTAGGTTTGCTTCATCTGCTACCACCACATTTGAACTATATGGTAAAGTACTTTATTGCTTAATTAAATTGATTGATAAGTGTTTAGGCTGATCTATGAAGAAAATAGCTGATCTATTTGCATTTCATATGCAATGCCTTTCTACTGTGACTTTTGCTCCTAAATGTATCTGAACATTAATGAAGAGATGTATCTGGGACATATCTCTTCCAGCTAAAAATGCTGAGGAGATAGTCTCCAGCAAACACTAACCATTTTTTCTTCCAGTGGTTTTTAAATAACCTAAATACATTTCCATTGTGTAAAATTTCAATGTCTAAAATATTTCAGATATTCAAATCACCAAAAGCAAACTGAAAATGTAAATTTATGAATTGCAGGTGAATATAAAAACACTGTTGCTGACTCAAAACAATTCTATTGTAACATTAATGAAGATGATGCTCTTTTTAATCGTTATGACTCAGCATCATACACTTTGCAAAACTCAATTAAGGGCACCTGGCATGGGCCACTGTCAGAAGACAGGATCCTGGGCTAGATGGACCTTTGATCTAACTCAGTATGGCCGTTCTTATGTTCTTATGTTCTAAGTTTGCCTTGACTTACAGCCTGTACAATCCTAGCACTCACTGCATGAAACTCTTGTTTCACTAAGAGTTTGTAGATTTTTGACAGGATCATGTGCTTCTGGATCTTTCAGTGTGTGCATATGGGGACAGAAGAGCTGTTTTGAAGAACAATTCTTTGAAAGTTTGATTTTAAAAAAAAAATATTGTAGCTTCTAAGTGAAAGCTTTCGAATTATAGTCCTTTCACAGGAATTCCTCCCCTTTTAGTACCAACAGAGTGCTCCTACTGTAACTCTGTGTACAGTGCCTTCTATCACAGGAATCTTCCTGATCTTATGTTCTTATGCTGCCAGAGCCTTTCCCCACCACAGTGAAAGACTTTAGCAGTGGGGAAAGGCTCTGGCAGGGGGAGGCAGCGGGGAAAGACTCCAGGAGCTCCCCACTGCCAGACCCTTTTCCTGCTACTTCCCCGGTGCCGGAGCTTTTCACTGTTGCATGTAGCTACATACTGTAGTGTGCACGCAGCTTGCTTTTCCCAGCAGAGTGTAGCTACGTGTACCCCACATACCCCTGCAAGTGTAGACAAGGCACGGGTTTCAAGAATGTTACAAATACTGTATTTGCACAGAATTGGCCAAAGAAATGTGTGATTTGAAAGGATGCTTGTCTTGTTTCTGCTGGACTTTAGAACCGCAAAGCAAGAAGAAGCCTTCTGCATGCTGTGTTTGGACTGCACTGGCAATCTACTTAATGATGCTAACTATAGGCCTGGGACTATTGGCGTTAAAAGGTAATTTTCCTAAATAACCATTTACTGTAGCCTTGAAATCCTTGTAATGGTTGGCAACGTGTTTGTGCCTGATGCTTTTGCGATACGCCATCCTAGAGGGCTTCGTGCCTCAATAGGATGAGCCTACTGTACATGCCAGGGGCTCTTTGCATCCCTCCAGTCGCTGCCCTAGCAAGCTCCTGTGTGTCACCCTTCCACCCCTCTATTTCAGGGACTCTCTGCAATCCCCGTTCCCCTATCCCCTTTGCCAGGGGCTCTGTGGGTTCCCCATTTCCCTCTTCCTCAAGTGTCCCCCATTCTCCCATCATGCCAGGGGCTCTGTGTGCCCCCATACCACTATTCCTCATTCTCCTCTTCATTCTCCCCTTCCCCACCATGGCAAGGGCTCCGTGTGCCCCCCATTCCCTCTGCCAGGGGGCTCTTTGAGTCCCTCATGCGTCCCTCCTCCATACCATTGTCTCACATTCCAGAGTGCTTTGTGTGTCCCCCATTCCTCACTTCCCCCTCCTTCCCACCATTCTCATATCTTTTCTTTCTGCCTGGGAGAGTCCCCCTTCGCTCAGCCAGTTAAGATACTGTGATGCTCGGTGCATTATAAATAGACATCCTGGTAGAGTATTTAAGCATTATCCAGCTAAGATCCAAGAGCAATCAATATCACTCCTATAAATGGTTGTTATGCCCATCTGTCACTCAGGGCTGGTTCTGAAAGCATACACACAGAAAGGGTGGGGAGAGTTTTGTGCACGCTCTCTTCTCATGCCAGGAAGCTGATTTCAGTGTTTCAGGGGTGTGAGAGATGAGTGCCATGAAGAGCAGAGGAGGATAAGTACGCTTTCCTTCAGTTCCTCAGAGAAACTTTTGGAGGACAAGTACATGATCCTGAGCACTCTAAGAATTAAGGCTCCCTCTATTAGAAACTGTTTTTTTCCCCAGATGCATATTAGATATGTTGCTGTCATATCTGGCCACGTAGCCAGGCATATGTGGCACCTGGATACAATAACGAACGGCATACTAAAAATGCCTGCATAAGTAGATGAGAGCCAATGGCTATGTCTACACTATAAATTAGGGGTGTGTTCCCCTGCTTAATGTACTCTCATTGAGCTAGCGTGAGTATAAATAGCAGTGTAGCCAGATTAGCAGCGGAGGCATGGCTGAGCTGTGCCCAGTATGAATGCCCCGATTTCAGGTAACATTCTACCTGTCATGCAGGAAAGAAGTGTCTGTTTTACAGGAACTCAGGGCCAGTCAATAGAAATTGCCCTATAGAGCAGGAATTTCCCTGGATGATAGAAGGAGCTTGAGAATATTTATTCCATGATGCCTTCCATTTTCCCAGTGTTTAACATGCAGGAGGAAATACGCAAAATCCAAAGAGAAGATGACTCATATAAACCAGAGGAACTGGTCAGCCCCTTCTACAATGAAACTCTTCCAGAAAGCAACTTTTATAGAAAGAACACTAGAGGTGAAGAAACATTGATTGAAAGCTTAGAAGAGGAAATCAACACCATTAGGGTCAGCAACCACAATTTACTGATGAGGATGAACAATATCACACTGGCTGCAGGTATCTCTCTGCTTCACCTTATCTTTTTGACTGTCATATTTTGTACATAATCTGAAAGCCTGATGGTGCTGTACAAGGAGTACAAGAGTCAAAGCCTTCTTTAAATAGAAAATGCACAATTCAGTGGTCCCTATGGGAAACTCCAGCTTTCTTCTCTAAGATTGAAGGGTGGTGGCCAGATCCTCAGCTCATCTAAATGGTGTAGCTCCATTAACTTGACATATTATTATGGATGGTCCGGTGGTTAGGGCACTAGCCTTAGGACTGGAGAGACCTGGATTCAGTTCAGTGCTCTGCCACAGGCTTTCTGCATGATCTTGGGCAAGTCACTTAGCCCCTGTGTGCCTCAGTTCCCCATGTGTAAAATGGGGGTGACAGTCCCGCCCTGCCTCCCAGGGGTGTGGTGAAGATAAATATGTTAAAGATTGCAAAGTGCAGTGCTTTGAAATCTACCAAGGAAAAGCACGATGTGAGAGATAGCCACTGCTATGAAAATATAATAAATACTTAAGGAGCAACCAGGAACAGGGCCCCATTGTATAAACACAGAGTAGTAAACAGTGGCTGCCACAGAAAATGAATGGAGTTATGATGATCTGTACCAGCTGAGGATCTGGCCCGAAGAATTGGATAAGATTGTGCATAGGGTGGCAGTATGGAGCCCAGGCTGGCATATCCCTTCGAGGTCCCACTTTATTGCAGCTAGAGTTTATTTCCTGGGCTGAAATGGGCGTGGGCTCCCTGTACCCAGTCCCCCCACCCAGGACTCCCACGCAATGTTGCTCAGACTTTTTTCAGGCCTCTCTAGGACTTCTAGTCTTCCTGCAGGGAGGGTGACATTTTCAACTCAGAGCTAAATTTGTTAACATACTGTTCAATCAACGATTGAGTGCTGACTGTTTAAAAATGCAAATATCCATTTCAGGGCAACTTGGAATCAAAGGAGAACCTGGTCCTCCAGGTAAGTAAATATTTGAGCAATGAACAGCTTCCCCTCTCTTTCATTCCCCCTCCCTTCCCCTGTTCTGTACAGAATCGGAAGTTAGATTTTGGAACCCTATTCAATAAGTCATTTGGGCCCCACTCCTGCAAAGACGTAATTCTACCCTGCATAATTTTACGCACGTGAGTGGTCCCATTGAAGTCAAGCTCCTCCCACACACCCTTGCATGGCCTGCTGGGAGTCTGGCTTTGGTGCAGGGTGTAGTCCCTGTTCTCTGGATACTCCCCATTCTGAGTAAGTGGGTGGGGAGAAGCAGGGAGCTAGTAGAATCATAGAATCATAGAATCATAGAATATCAGGGTTGGAAGGGACCCCTGAAGGTCATCTAGTCCAACCCCCTGCTCGAAGCAGGACCAATTCCCAGTTAATCACAACTCAGTCTCCCCTCTCCGCTGCTGCTCACTAGCAGGGTAGCTGGGGAGAAGTAAATTGTATTTTATCAAGAGCTTTATCAGTAACTTACTTTCTCCCTTGAATCTGGATGGGACCCAGGGAGGAACTGATGGGAAACGGGTGGGAGCCACAACTGCAGAGAAGTTTCACAGCACCTTTTACTCAGGGTTGAGCCTACAGGCTCAATCTAGTCCACAACGAGTAATACAATATGTCAGTTTTCCTACATGATTAAGGTGTGATCCTACAAAGTGCTGAGCGGCTCCCACATGGCATTAGGGGCCTCAGCCTTTCATAGGATTGCACCCCAAATTGTGGCACTTGTTCTTGCAATAGAATAGCTGCGTAAGGTCCTCTTGCATTTCCCATTGAAAACAATGGAAATACATCCACTGACTTCAGTGGGAGTTGGATTGGGCCCACTGACTTGATGGTGGGGGGGGGGATTGCACATGCTCAGGATCAAGCCCTAAAACTCCCCAGATGTGAAGGTTACTTCTCCTAGTTGGATTCACATGCCATTTTAAGAGACACCCAGCTTCCCTTTTCTGACATTGACTTTCTGTTCCTCAATCTCCCCAAGACTTATACTTCAAACTGGTGTCCAACTAGTGCAGGGGTCGGCAACCTATGGCACGTGTGCCAAAGACGGCCCGCGAGCCGATTTTTAATGGCACGCTGCTGCCTGCCGGGTCCCAGCTGCCGGCCCCACTCAGCCCGCTGCCGAACCCAGGCTGGGACCCCGGCAGGCAGCAGAGTGCCATTAAAAATCCTGCCTGCCCCAGTCCGCTCTTCTCCACCCCCCCACGGGGCAGGGTGAAGAAGCTTGGTCCCCTCCCCTGCCTTTTCCCCCAGCATGCTGGGTTCCTGTCCCTCCTCCTCTCCCTCCCAGCCGCCAATCAGCTGATGGCCCCTGTGAGGGAGGGGGAGAAGCGGAGCCGCAGCGCGCTCGCTGCTCCGGGGAGGAGGTGGAGAAGAGGTGGGGACAGGGCCTTGGGGAAGGGGGTGGAATCAGGGCATATCCCCTCTAGCCCCCTGCCGTGAGCCGCTCTGGGCAGGGGGCTGGGACCATCCCCACGACCCTAGCCCACATCCCCAGCCCTCTTCCCTGACCCCTGCATGCCCCCATGACCCCAGCCCTGACTCCAGCACCCCCCACACATACCCAGCCCCCAACACCCCATGCCCTGACTCCTGCACCCACCTCACATGCCCCCAGCCCTCTGCCCTGACTCCTGCACCCTTCTCACACACCTACAGCCCCCTGCCCTGACTCCTGCACCCCCCACACCCCATGCCCTGACTCTTGCACCCCCCACATTTCCACCCCCACCCAGAGCACCAAACTGGAGCCCCTTTACCCCCCGCCCCATTCCCACCTGCACGCCTTGCACCAAATGGGAGCTGCCCGGGTAAGCACTCCACACCCAAACCTCCTGCCCCAACCCTGAGCCCCCTCTCTCATTCTATCTCCTGGACAGACCCTGCACCCTAACCCCCAGCCTGCTCCTTCCCCCCCAGCCCTGTGCTCAGTGCACTCCCATCCTCAGCTCAATGCAGAGAGAGAGGAAGAGAATGGGCTAGAACCAGGGAGAAGGTAGGTACCCACTCTATGTAGGCAGGGCTGGGATCCCAGACCAGCAGCGAGCTGAGAGGGGCCGGCAGCCGGGACCCTGGCTGGCAGGAGGCAGCGGACGGAACCCCAGACCGGCAGCGGGCTGAGCTGCTCAGCCCACTGCTAGTCTGGGGTTCTGGCTGCTGGCCCCTTGCCAGGGGTCCCAGCTGCAGGCCCCGCTCAGCCTGCTGCCGGCCTAGATGAACGGAACCCCAGGCTGGCAGTGGGCTGAGCAGGCCGGCGGCGTAAGATCAGCATTTTAATTTAATTTTAAATGAAGCTTCTTAAACATTTTGAAAACCTTGTTTACTTTACATACGACAATAGTTTAGTTATATATTATAGACTTATAGAGAGAGACCTTCTAAAAAACATAAAAATATATGACTGGCACTCAAAACCGTAAATTAAAGTGAATAAATGAAGACTCGGCACACCACTTCTGAAAGGTTGCCGACCCCCGAACTAGTGCATACAATTTCAGTCTTTTTTCTTAGCCACGTTATCTCAGCCTGCCTGAAATGAAGGCTTTATTCTGTTCAATTCAGGTGCCAAGGGGGAGAAAGGAAGACAAGGTGAAAAGGATTTCAAGTTTTCAAGTGCTTACTCCTCCTGTTTTTTACTCTATCACCCAAAGGATGTTGGTTACATGCTGAAATATACACAAGGCCAGATTCTCATTGGGTGTAAATTAGCATCATTCAATTGCACTCAATGGAGCTATGTCATCTTACACCCATCTGAGGATCTGGTCCTAGTTATGGTCAAATCCTGGTCCCATTACAACCAATGGACATTTTATTATTCAATTCCGTGAGCCATAGCCCTTAGTTTACACTTGTTCATTATGCCATCAAATCCATCTTCTAGGAGGAAAAGGTGAGAAGGGAGACATGGGTCTACGAGGACCAGCTGGAAGCAAAGGAGAACCAGGGTCAAAGGGTAAGCAAATAACATAAAACTCAGAGAGGGGTGGGGACATATTTAACAATGTAGACGAGCAGAGGAGAACAAAAGTGGATGTATTTGTATTTTAGGTATTGGATTTCCTGGGGAGAAAGGAGAGAAGGGTAAGTCATGGAAATGAACCCTCCCTTGCATCATAAGAACAAATAGAAATAAAAACGCCCTGATTCTCAGACTTCCCATTGGCACTTTGATTTTGGTGCCTAAATATGGATTGAGATACCCAGTGTTAAGCACTTTGGATGTGAGCATTTTGGCCACTGTATTTAAACCTGAAATGTTTTTTAAGCACATGCTTCCCACTGCAGACTCGGAGAGATGTGAACGCATCCAGTGGCAGATTAGCCACTGGGCCAATGGGGCCCATGCCCCGGGGCCCTGGCCAATTGGGGCAACAGGAAAAATGGGCACCCCCTCGCACCCAACCTGTACCACCCACTCAGCACTCCTGCCAGGGAGTGGGGGAAGCCCCCAGGACCCAACCCTGCTCCCTGGCTAGAGTACAGGGGGAGAATGAGCCACTTGCTCTGGCCCAGGGCCCCACAGAACTGTAATCTGCCTCTGAACACATCCCACTCATTGTTGAGGAATGTCCTTTATAACCCCTGTGATAGTCTCTGACTTTCACCCCATTCACTTGTAGAAAACAAGTAGATAGGTGTGATGAGCTTCTGTAGCTGCAGGTTTTGTGTGTGTCTTGTAGTTAGTTTACTTGTTTGGGAGCTGTGGTTTCAGTCTTCACAAAAGAATTGATGTTAATTTTTTTTGTCAATTCAATTTCAAGGTAATCCTGGAGAAGAGGGTGCTGGAGGTGCTCAGAAAGGGGAGAAAGGTTCATCTGGAAAGGATGGAACTCCAGGTACTGAGTTACTTACCTTTACAGCCCTGCACAAATGTTATCGTACATAATGCTCAATCCACATATTTCCTTTGATATTTTTAGGGATACCCGGAAGAGTAGGAGCTCCAGGTGCCAAGGGAGAAGCAGGTAAGGAAGTATTAGTAGCAGCACCTCCTAACAAGTAAATGAAGAGCTAAGCAAAGAACTGAATACCCAAAGTTCAGTAAAACCAGAACACGCAGCAGCAATCAGAGTGATTTATGTGGGTTTTTTATGGGTCATAAGTAGTAACTGGAGGGTAACTTAACTTTCTGTGTCAAAGATGACATTCCTACTGATAGAGCCACACTGATACAACATAATTTGATCAGCCACTGCTCTATAAGATTCACACTAAAATGTGTATGTTGTAATCAACATACAATCCAGTTGTCCTGTGTGTCCTGTTCCTGGAGACCCAGTCTTCTGGCCAGTTTCTGGTCTCATTTACAAGAGGATAAATTGGGAGTAACTCTACTAACGTGTATGCATTTATTCCCAATTTTTCACTCGTGTAAATGAGATTGGAATGTGGCCTTTCATTAGGACTAAATCCTGGAGCTATTGCACAGCCCAAATGGCTGGACTATGGTACATGCTGGGGAAGGAATTATCCCTCAGGCTGTGCTATGCATTCACAACAGTTATAGTCCCCTAGCCAATGCCCTCATTCTCCATTTAGGACCATGTCAAACCATGGATTGACCAGGTTCTCCCTCATCCCTCCCTTCTCCCCAAGGCTCCTAGCTGGGGAGCAGAATGTTCACGCACATCAGATTTTCCTGACATGCAGGGAGACTGCTACCCCCAGCTTGGGGACCGCAAGCTTTCTGCCCTGGAATCACACCAGTCTCACTAGGTAAGGGCCCCCACAGCCAGTCAGGCAGCAAGTCAGCTCTGCTGCTCCCCTTATCTCATCCATCCATGGTGCTTGTCTATGTTTATGCTAAGCAAGCATTTTAAACATCAAGCATCCGTGTCGTCCTTGCTGTGCAGCATGACTTACAACAATGAAATACAACTTCAAGCCAAATCCTGCAGTTCACTACCTATACATTTCAGAGCCTTTTCAGGGAAAAATTCCCACTGACATCAGTCTTTGAGCAAGGACAGCAGGATTTGGCTCATAGACAGTTGGACCAGTTTCACAGCTTGTGTAAATCAGCAAAGCTCCATTTATGTCAGTGGAGTGACTGTCCATTTACATCCGCTGAGAATCTGGCCCAATACCTGTGGATTGCATAGGCTCAAAAATATCTACCTTTCATGTCCATTAATCGTTATTATTAATATATATGTATTGGAATTTCAGGAATAGAAGGACCAAAGGGGACAAAAGGAGACCAAGGAGTCCAAGGTAATGCATTTCCTTCATTGCGTTGCTACTATGGATTTTGCTCTCATTCATACCTGTGTAAATCAGGAATAACTCCATTGAAGTTAGCAGAAATAAACCAAAGTAAAACCAGTGGATGAGAATAGAATCCAGCGGACAGTACTGAATTTATACAGATAGACCCAAATTTGGCCCTCAGTGACAGATACCTATTTCAAAATAGCTGCACTGCCATCTTCGGAGTCACTCTGGATCTACAACGAGAGCAAAATTTGACTCTTATATTGGTATTGCATTTTGTAGTGTGTGCGTGATGGGTCTTTCATGGGATGTTCAAAGCAACAAAGCATCAGAAGTTTGGTATTTTTCATCCAGGCTTAAGAGGACCATCGGGTGAAGATGGAAGTAAAGGGGACAGTGGCCTCGCTGGTCCAAAAGGTGAACCAGGAATGAAAGGAGATTGGGGACCTACAGGTAAGGCAATTTGCTTATTTTTACCTATGCAATTTTAACAATTTCACATGCCTTCCTAGTTAAGTCTTTTCCGTTTACAGTATAAAATGTATTGTTACTCCATGAGTTGTTTCCACAAAGATTCAGACATCTCTGACCATAGGGTTACCAGTCTATAGAGGGATTGGATGAATGAGGTTATTTGCCTTATTTGTTTCTTGCTATGCCAGTGCATCAAGAAGGGTGGTTCTCCAGAAATGCTGACTCAGAGCAATGAGCTTTTATATTCTCTTTTGGGATATGTACGTGTAATGAAAGAAGCAGGTACTTAATTATCAGCACATCCCTGATTATAGCAGTGGTGTTTATAGAAGGATTTATACGGTATAAACGAATACAATACCATTTAAATGCACAATCATGTGCAGGTTTGGTTGGTTAGAGTGATAGTAAAGCCTGCCTCTGAGTGGTTTATATCCCATATAAACTAGAGTTTTGTGTAAGTTAAACAGAAGAATTATGCAGTGTCTCTCGCCTGTGTAACTTGCATTACATTGGTATTCATCAGCCACATCTGAGATGTGGATAGGGAGAATGAGCCGAAAACAGGATGGAAAGTGGAAACATGTTGTGGAAGTGGTCCATATGAGCGGAGAATGATTATACACAGAACATTTGGAAATGTAACATTACTGCTCTGCTGGTGTACATCAGTGAGGTTCCATTTATTTAACAGAATTCCACTGATTTGCACCAGCTGAGGGTCTGGCTCATGAATGGCAAAACGGATCTTAAAAAATTCTAGGAATCTTAGGAAAATCCTGGAACAGAAAAGGGAAGGAGGGAATTGCAATCCCTTCTGAAATATTTTATTGCATTCTGTCATAAGTATCTTGATTACCAACTGCAAATGTCAGAGATCTAGAAATGCAAACCCAGGGCCAGATGCTGATGCTGTTAGAGCCAATGGGAGAGAGACACAGATTTGACTCCAACCCTTTGATTTATACACATTCATTGTATTGTTAAATAGGTCTTCGAGGAAGTAAAGGTGAAGTGGGTGAGAAGGGAGAGATGGGCCCCAGAGGACCAATTGGTGCTCCTGGAAACAAGGGAGATGCAGGTCAGTCAGATTTAAATGGGTAAGTTAATAAGGCAAAAAGCCAAATCTGGCTGGGGGTTGGTGGAGGCGAGGGGAGATGCCATGTTTAATAATTTGTACAAATATCACTAACGCTAACACCAATATTGTATTGTATTGTATGTACAGTGGGTGCACCAGGGCTTCCAGGACAGAAAGGAGAGGCAGGTAAGCCAGGCAAAAAGAAAAGTTTCTCGTATTGGTATGACACTGATCTCCCTTAAAGGTACATTTCATTAAAAAGGGGCAGCTGGTGTAAATCGGCTCTGATTTAATTGAAGTCAGTTAACAGCCACAGTGGATTGGCCCTGAAAGTCTAATTTAAAAGAAAATCAAACCCACTGTGATTGTAACTGAGAAATGTCCATTTGTCTCAATTACCAAGGAAGAATATTATAAACACAATATCTGCCCTCCCTCCAATCCCGCAGCAAGCTACAGATTCAAGGCCTGTTGTCTCACGTACACCACTGGACTCAAAGAGTAATTCCACTGAACTCAGTCGAGTTACACTGGTGTAAAACTGCTGTAAATGGGTGTAAGTGAAAGGAGAAGTAGGATCTTTTGTTCTATATTTTTCATAGATTTTTAAAGTCAGGAGAGCCCAGTACGACCATCTTGTCTGCCCTCCTGCATATCATAGGCAATCACAGTCCAGGGCAACTGCACCGCTGTCTCCCCTCGGTGGTTCAGCAAGGGCATCCGCTCTCTGGCTTCAGTTCCCCAGTCATTGCCTTTCTGGGCGGAGACCGGCATCTTTCTCCCTTCTGACTCGCATATTTCCAGGCTGCACACTTGCTTGCCTTCACGGTATATTTCCCATCACAGACTGGTTGGCCAAGAACACTTGCTTGCTTTTTCTTGAGAGACTGATGATAGAATGATTGTCGATAGTTATAAGTTACCATGCAGCACTTCCTATGCACGCCCACTTTATTCTTAAGGGATAACGCATTGCAGAGAAAATATATTAAAACAATAGAAGAACCTACGCACATGCTAATAAGTTTAACAGAATTAACCCCAACCCTAACATGGATTCTGCAGGGCCAGTCCTTCCAACCCTACCCAAAAGATTGGGGTCTACTGTGGATTAGGGGTCCAGTCCATTTGCTGGATCAGGAAAAAGGCCCTACGCCAGTTTAAAAGCAGGCTATTTATTCAAAAATCCTTCCTTTGTCTGTCAGTCCCTGGAGAATCTAGGTTGAACAAGTATACACGTATCTCTCCGGGGGTGGTGGGGTTCTTTACAACCTGAGTGAATTTGTGTAATGACCCCCAGCTGTATGAAAATACATACAATTACACAGTAACACATGCACCATTGCATGTTTAACACAAGGAATGTCACAGGTTTTAAAACTAATTCAATAAGGTTTAACTTCATTCAATGAAGTTCATTTACGATATTGCAGGAAATTGTCAGTCTGTTACACCAGTCCCAGAATTTCACCCAGTAAGTCCCTTTCTAATCCTCTAAGGCCTGGTTCACCATTGTATTACTCCATTTTCACACCAGTTTCAGTCTACTGAGGCAACACCAATGTCAAACTGGAATAATGCAGTGATGAATCAGGACCCTTTTGTCTAATTCTAAATTCATATGGTGTCTCCCCTGCTTCACGGCCTGACTCATCATGTCATTTAGATATGAAGATATTGGTACTGAGTATCCTCTGAGCATCAGTTTCACACTAGAGTAATTCCATGGAGTTGCTCCTGATTTAGCCCAGTGTAAATGAAACGTGAATCTGTCCCATAGTACCCTGGAAAAATTGCAACACAGGTAATTGCTTTCTGTCTATGAACATTTCCCCTGCAGGTGCATATGGATGGAGTGTTCTTCACCCCTTATGGAAAAGTCCTAGTAGAAGCTGCTATCCTTTCTCTGGGCTTTGTGAACTATCCTACAGAATTATATCCCTTCTCTAAAATTCTATGGGATGACTTAGAAAATCTATAGAAAATTTCTTCTTTTCTGTTAACATCTATAGATTTTTAGAGCAATTTATATAGAATCCTATTCAATTTCCATAGAGCCCTAATTTGTGTGTGTGTGTGTTGTTTACAGGGCCATATTCTGTATGTACAGGGCTATATTCTCCTTTTGGCTCTATACACATCACTCCCTTTGAAGTCAATATGAACCATTTGTATGCATCCCAGGGCAGAATTTGACCTAAATTTTGGGAAGTGCTTTGGGATCCTTCAGATTGAAATGCTATGTGGACCTGATTCTCCACTGCCTTTCACTTTGTATGCTCATTTACACAGTGCAAAATTGGTTATAAAATTATACCACTAGTGAAAGTGAGTGGAGAATTCCAACATGGACGCGGTTTACATCCACTTTGCTCTCACTCTGCACAGGAATAGATGACTACACGAGGTGTGGGGCAGTAGAGGATCAGCCCCTGGAGAAATGTTATGTTACTTTGGTTCCTTTATAGTTCTTTGTACTTCACTTTTGTTGTTGTTGTTCATCTTTAAGGCCTGAATGGAGACGTTGGTGCCCCGGGACTTCCTGGTTTAAATGGCATGCCTGGTCAGAGAGGGGAGAAGGGTACGTAGCTACCAGCATTTTTAATTTAGTAAAATAATACCCTGCTAAGTATTTGTTACCCATGTACCCTTTTTTTCCCCCTTTTTTTAAACATCAGGAATCCCAGGAGAGAGGGGACCTAAAGGTGAAAAGGGACAGAGAGGAGAAGCAGGTAAAGGAAAACAAGACACGTCCAGCATCAGCAACACAAGTTATTCAAATAGGGGGATGCACTGGAATGAACACACAGCTCAAGCCAGGAGGCAGGATGCTCAATCCCATGCGTGACAGACTCATGCAGTGTGGACCTACAGTAGTGGGCATGGAGCTCTGCCAAGCTGCCATGGCAGGATACTTATTTCTGTAGCTGTGCCCAGGGTCCTTATAGGCACCTGTTGATATAACTTAAGAACATAAAGTGCAGCAGGTTAAGATAACCCACTCCAAATCTCCTTCCGCTGACATTAACAGAGCTACTGTGACTTACCCCAGCGGTGTATCTGGCACATAGGGTCAATTTAGGTATGTTATCATGAAAGATCCACTTATCCTCTAAGCCCTTGGATCTGAAAACCCAATCTTCCTAGGTGAATAAGTTCTTATTTTTATATATTGTATGTGCCTTATCCACTTCATTAACCATTAGCTGGAGAACGAACGTGCCTTCCCATCTGCATGAATTGAAAAGTAGACTATAAATGTAAGCTTGAGGGAGCTTAAAAGTGTGATAATATCTATTTTACTTATTTATTTTGGTTTTGATGATCTTTGATGGCATGCCAGGACCAAAGGGAGAACAGGGAGATTCGGGTAAAGCACTTGCTGTATTAAATTATGCAAAGAGATGATTACACAATAGGGTACTTTCCATGGAATGTTTCACTGACTTCTGAAGGTGATTGCATGTAATACTTGTCATGCTCTTTTCTTCAGAAATTGCCAAAGGCATCAGCTCTCTGATATTTTCCACCTAGGGGTTAGAGGCCTACCTGGTGAAAAGGGAAGTAGGTGGAATTTTGGCTCTCCAGGTCCAAAAGGTGAACCAGGAATGAAAGGAGCCAAAGGAGACATGGGACCTAGAGGTAAGACTATCTATCAAGGTTTCTGTTGAGTAGTTGGTATGTTTTGCATTGTGTGTGTGTATTATGGAATTGCAGTAGTTGTTCCATGGTTAAGGTTGCTGCTAGCTTTCCATTTATAAACCTGATTTTCAACCCCACTACCAAGTTCCCACACACAGAAACCAATCTTCCTGACATTTTGGGTGCTACATCTCATCCTATAGTATCATCTTTCTGGAAACTTTGGTAAAAATTATGCAAAGGATTTTAAAGTCATGGGGCCAGATACTCTGGTCCCGGCCACCTTTATGTCCCCCCAGTTGCCAGTGCAGTTCATTACACTTCATTTTTGTTCCCTTGTATTATTTCGGCAGAGACACCGTGCAAGTCTCCTCTGTAAGTTTTTAGAAATTAATAATTCAACAATATCTATTTATCTGCATGCAATGAGGAGTGAAAATAAAGGGAAGCAATTGTAATAAGGAAAGGGAAAGACTGACTGACTGGAAAAAACATTTAAAAACTGATCAGTAAAGTTAGGTGTCATTATGAGACCAGCCCATAGGCACCCCTAACTTGGAGGACCAGCAATTATGCCAGCATTGCAGTGGTAGTATTTTGGCAAAAATGCCCAGTTCTTGAGCAATTCCTGTGTGACTCTGTATTGGACACAAACACGTTTTCTTTTAATGTCACTCATCTACGTCGTCTTGTTTCATGAATTTGCCTCTTGAACAAGTGCATTTCAGTGCAGCCATTACAAGGAAAGTTTCATTCACTGCTTGCATCTGAGCTGAGCTATTTCTTTCGGACACTACATTAAGGCAGGTTTCAGAGCGGCAGCCATGTTAGTCTGTATCAGCAAAAAGAACGAGGAGGCCTTGTGGCACCTTAAAGACTAACAAATTTATTTGAGCATAAGCTTTCGTGGGCTAAAACCCACTTCATCGGATGCATGCAGTGGAAAATACAGTAGGAAGATAGATATATACACACAGAGAACATGAAAACATGGGTGTTGCCATACCCACTATAACGAAAGTGATCAATTAAGGTGAGCTATTAGCTGCAGGAGAAAAAAACCTTTTATAGTGATAATCAGGATGGCCCATTTCCAACAGTTGACAAGAAGGTGAGAGGAACAGTGCGGGGGTGGGGTGGGGAAATAAACATGGGGAAATAGTTTTACTTTGTGTAATGACCCATCCACTCCCAGTCTTTATTCAAGCCTAATTGAATGGTGTCCAGTTTGCAAATTAATTCCAATTCTGCAGTCTCTTGTTGGAGTCTGTTTTTGAAGTTTTTTTGTTGTAATATTGCGGCTGGCCCAAACAGGGGGACTGCCCTGCGCCCTGTGAAGTAAATTACGCCCACAAGCCAAGGAGCAAAGGGGAAGCCTGAGGAGGAGAGTCACAATTCCTCCCTGGGCTGGTTCTGGGGTAGTCCAGCTACACTCTTACCTTACACCGGGCAAGCTGTAAAGGCACAGTCCAGCCCTTATTTATTCTGGTGGCTCCAGCACCAGTGCAGCTATTAGTGGGTTTTTTTATCAATAACTCTCGCTTTGCACAGGACTGAAATATATTTTCCTCCTTGGGTGAAGCTCCGAGGTCCCCAGTTGCCCCAAAGTGGCCGAGACAGCATCTTACCTGGCCCAGAAGTAACAACACAGAACATCAACATGAGCAGATAGCCCTATAGTGAGACATCACTCCACTTCACTGTGACACTAACCAGTCCCTGCCCACTACCACTCCTAGACGGAGGCTGCATCTTTGCTGATGAACTAGCTATAAAGTCAGGTTTCACAGTAGCAGCCGTGTTAGTCTGTTTTTGCAAAAAGAAAAGGAGTACTTGTGGCATCTTAGAGACTAACCAATTTATTTGAGCATGAGCTTTCATGAGCTACAATCCGATGAAGTGAGCTGTAGCTCATGAAAGCTTATGCTCAAATAAATTGGTTAGTCTCTAAGGTGCCACTAGTACTCCTTTTCTTTTAGATATAACGTGGCCCCCATCCAACCAGCCTTACACATGCAAAACTCCCACTGAGCTCAACTTGATTTGGCCCCAATCAGAACAGGGAGACTGGCTCGTACGTTAAGAATTGATTTCTGAATTCACTCCTGACATGTATTTGAAATCTGCTTTAGGCCACACCCGACTCAGATGCCAATATGCAGCCTGGTAGTTTTAGATTTCTCCTGCATCTAACTCTGGTTAATGATGCAGAAAACACACCTACCAGATTATAAAATAGGTTGTGTATGTCTATTTATATAGTTATACTTTTTTAAAAGAAAGAGTTGTATATTTAGTGCTTTTAGCAAAAGAAAAAGGATGTGGGAAGCTTTTTTTTTCAGTACATTTGGGATCCCTTTGTGCATTCCAACTAAACTATCCTTTAAGAGGGCCCAAGTGGCACTGTGGTGTCAAAAGACCCCGCTCCTATTCTTGAGGCTGCCACTGACTTCTTGTTTGACTTTGGATAAAAATCACTTAGACCCAAATCCTCAAAGGTATTTAGGTGCCTAAGTCCCACCTTTCAATGGGAATTAGGTGCCTAAACACCTTTGAGGATCTGGACCTTTCCCGCTCTTTGCCTCAGTTTCCCCATCTATAAAAGGAAGGTAATAAACCTTTATTCATGTAGGGTTTTTTTAATTAAGACACTGAGATCCTTAAAGCATTTTGAAATCTTTGGATGGAAGGCACTGTAGAAGTGCAAATAATTATTATGAACGTTTATTGTTATTGGTTTTTTTTAAGTGTAATATGGTAGCGCCTGGTGATGTGAACTGAGATTGCGACCCCATTGTGCGAGGTTCTGTGCAAACACATAGTGAGAGACAGCGCCTGATAGCAAAGAGCTGGTCAAATTAATTGCTGTAGGCCATTTGATCATAAAATAGAGAAAGGGACTTTTATATTTTGCAAAGAACATAAGCAGCTGGAGGTTGTTTGTAAATGTATTTTTAAAAAACAAGGTTTTTAAAATGTATACTCTGTAGCTGTTTTTATAACATTTAAAATACATATTATATGCATGGCAGCACCAGTAAAATACTGTCCACTTAATATAGCAGGATTCTGCACACTGACGTATATACACCATCACGGGACCTTTTCACCGGTGTTGTGCATTGCAAATACTCTGCAGTGCATAATACTCCTGCTGCTTTTAACATGCTGCTATCATGAGTTCCAAAGCTGTCCCAGGGGCTTAACCACATCAGGAGTTTAATTCCAGGAGTATATTTCAAATTCTAAAAGTGTGAGGGGGCTGGAGTTTTGTTTGAACATTTGCATTCATCTCCGATCAACACCAGCTTAAGACATAATGGTAATCATTATACTTTACCTTGAAAGCGTGTCTAATGATTGTTTTTTTTTATTTGGAACAGGACTGCCAGGGAGCAAAGGTGACAGGGCTGAACCAGGTACTAGACATTTATCTCGTCTCCATAGCTTGCCCTGTAACACCAGCACAATATAGGACCCAGTATATATCCAGGACACATGCTTAATTTTGACTATTTGCATAGTCCCAATGATGTCAAGAGAACCTCCCACGTGCATAAAGTGAAGCAAGTGTTTAAGAGCCTGCAGGATCAGGGCCGTCATGCTTCTGAATTAATTGCACCTCTGAGCCCTCCCAGGGTCTGTTCAAGGAGGCCTTTCACCATCACCAATCTCTGGGCAGGGACCTGCATCACTCTTCCTGCGGAGCAGGGTTGTTTGGTTGTAACCCACCTCCCTGCACTGCCCTTGCTTATCCCAGCAGGCCTGACTAATGTCCAGCTTCTGTGCTTTGTTTTCTCTCCAAGGGCTATGAATGGCATGCGCCAGTGGTTATGAGTAACCAACAGCTCTCTCAGAGCCTTACAGAAACAACGTATAAAACAATAAAAGGTCTAAACACATAATTAAGCTTACCAGTGTTCCCCCGTGACATCTATGGAGACCCTGCATGTTCCAGTCCTTCCATGGGGTTTGATACGCCGCACCCATTTTGGACAAAAGGGTCATGCCCATTTGTTGCCTTAAAATGAAAGCCTGTCTCTTTATACCCCAGTCTCCTAGGTCTCTTGAACACACTCTGAACCAGTATATGCAAACCACCACAGAGACTGGTACTTGTCTGGAACTGTTTGCTGGTCCCAGGGACGGCAGTAATCACACCCCACTGTTTTTAGTTCCTGGAGGAGCTGCAGTAACCCTCCCCATTGGAGTAGAATACAATCCCGAGCCCACAATAATACATATAACCTGTACGAATAACAGGTCTAAAATTGATTCAAGAGTCTCAAGCTAGACCTGTGTTCATCATATCTATCACAGGGTCCTGAACGGATCTGATTTTTGCTACAACGGCAACCTTGTTTCCCATGTAGCCATGTTCATTTAGGTGTGGCCGTTGGTTTGTGTTATTTGGTTTAGCAGCTTATTCTTCTGTGTCATTTTTCTTATGCAAACGTCTTATTTTCTGTGTGTGTAATTGGTGCAATTATTTCATAACCTTCTAATCCATCAGGGGAACGCTACTCCCACCCCAATATAAGGCTCAATGGGACAGCTAGGGAGGGCCGTGTCGAAATTAGGTACCAAGAGAAGTGGGGAACAATATGTGATGATGGATGGGATGACAGAGATGGAACCGTGGTCTGCAAAATGCTGGGATATAGACGCGCAGTTCGCACCATGACGGCACCCCCAGGTAAGTTAATAACTAATCACCCAAATCACCAACTACATTCCGGATCCCAAATTGTGATCTGTGATTTTATATAGTGTGGCTGGTGTTTGGTGTAAGATTCAGCCTTTACAGGGGCAGTATTCATGGCCTCCTGGCACCCAAGCCACTTTCAGCCAGGCATTCAGATACAGAGCTGGAATTTTTTCAGTCCAGGGTGCCACACTTTTTTGGTGCTGCTCTTGTTGCACGGGAAGTCCTAAAATTCTTTCCAAGTGCAGGATCACAGTCTAAGGTTGTACAAAATATATAGTTTCTTGATGGTGAATACTGAGATACTTGCATTCACATGTGAGCTGCATGAACTTTGCAGACATGCTTCCTCAGAGGATAACTCTAGAATTTCCATTTGTCCCTTTTATCTCCCTCCCACCTACTATTTCTATTTCCCGATTGTCAAAATACCCACCCACCCCACTGGCCTCCGAAAGAGAAATTATGATGGTCCAGACCAGAGGCAACCCATGCCTGCCGATGGGGAAGTGGGGGGGGGGCCGAGTCAGGGCAGCCGGCTTCAGCAGTGTTACAGAGCATGCTCAGTCTGTGTGAGCATGCTCAGTACAAGCCAAGCACAAATCTCAGGGTGACCCTGCCTCCAACCTCACACATCCCCTCTTGTCCGGACCCTGCCACTCTTACCAAGACAAAACTCATACTGAAGCAAATGGGTGTTCTGCTAAAGTAAAGAGGGCAGTATCATAACCTATAGAATAATCACCCAGCAATCAAGAACTTACAGAACAGTTGTGTGGAAGTGTTATGGGACAACTGGGCACAAGCCATTCAGATATAGAGATAATCAACAGAAGCAAGGTTTTTAGAGATTTCTGTGTTAAATAGGATTGCTGGGATTAGCGATTGAGCCTATCACTGAGGTGAATCATTATAATTAAAATGAAAACCCTTCTATCCTCTACCCACCCTCAAGTTTTACCCACAACCTGAACTCACTCAACTTTTCCAAAGTTCACAAAAGTTCACTCAATGGTGTTTCCTCTCTGATCTCTCAATTCCATGTGCCCCTGCACTTCCTTCTTCTAGCCAAAGCTGGAAGCAGAAGTGCCACAATAGTACTAGAAAGTCTGCTCTTGCAAAATTTCCAGCCCAGTTTTGCAGACCCAGAGGGTAGCGATCATTTGGATGAAACCGTCTAACCTAAATCTGTGCACTGTCTTAGTTATGCCCTATATTAGTGGCAAGTGTAATTCTCTGCAGCAGGGTACCCAAAGGCCTCTTAAGTAAGTGTTACCCTTTCCATTTGGAAGTGACCATGGGCAATATGTGAAGCAAAGTGCATGAGATTCAAGCTGAGAGACCACCTCCAACATGTCAGATGACAACTTCGATTGCAATCCAGCCACCTCCTTCCCCTCCTGTGTTTTGTTTCAGGAGTTCATTATGTATTCCCTTTGGGGGAGTTTGCCGGGGGACCTTGTTCTATTTTTCACTGGTAACAAAAGACAGAATTGTGACCTGCTCTTACCAGGACACACATGGTGGTAAAGGTGCACCAGGGAAGGCTTCTTCCTCACTCCGCGCTGTGAGCCACAATGGACATAACCTGTACAAAGAGCCCTTTCCTTCCATCTGAGTTAGCTGCACTGCAGGTCACTGAGCACTGGGAAGAGCAGCCTTTGCAGGCCCACTGTTCCCATTCACCTGTAGATGGGTGGAGGGAGGGCCGGGAATAGGTGGAGCTTTGACTCCACCCTCCAGTGCGCCAGCCTGCAATGCCAAGCTGCTGTTAGAGGGGAAGTCAGCTGCCCCCAGTAAAAGGCTGCAATCCATTACTTTCTCTTGGGAGCCGTGGCAAAGCAGGGAGGGGAAGTGTAACTGTCACAGTTCCTTCCCAGGCCTCCTCCTGGGGTGACACAGGTACCCGCTCCTGACACAGAGCTGTGCCTCGAGGCTAAGTCTAGCCCTAAGGGAAGTGTGAAACCTAAAGAATGTCGTCTTTGTGATTCACATTACAGATTTCTTTGGGTGACTGTATATGTCTGTTTCCCATGCTCTACAGTGACTTATTTTGCTTTTTATTTATTTTTTTTAACCACTCACCCCCAAAAAAGGTTCTGGTCAGATTTGGCTTGATAACGTGGAGTGCAATGGAATGGAATCCTCCATTTTGAACTGTGAAAAAAACAACTGGGGGGACCACAACTGCAGCCACAGTGAAGATGCTGGTGTGGAATGTGCCTAAGATGGTGTCGAAATGGGCATGATACACTGCTGTCTGGCATAAGATGTCTTAATTCCACAAGTTCCAACAGACTGCGCTGCTGTTGTCCATGGCTGGGACTTGCTTCTTTGTTTCGGTGTTTGTAAAACTGTTGGTTTCTTTAGCTATTTTAAAAATGTGCATCAATGAGGCAAGTAATTGTTCCTTAAATCTTTAATAACCAGTAAGGCCAAAAGTAAACCAGGAAATCCAGTTGCCACAAAACAATTAGAGACAGAAAAGGAATGAAATACCCAACTCACTCAAATACTCGTAAATCTTTGGGTAACCTGGCCGGTCTGGTATCCAGCAATCATGTATTCTGCACAGGGTGGAAGGATAATGGAAGTTAAAGCATAGGAGTAGGAGACCTATGCCCTGCACTCTTCCTAGCTCTTCCCTGGACCTCCTTCATGACCGTGGCAAAGTCACTAAGACCCAGATCCTTAAAGGTGAGGAGTTAGGCACATGAATACCTTTGAGGATCTGGGCCTTAACCTCTCTGTTTCTCAGTTTCACAGCCTCCCAATCTATTAACAGAGGTAATGATACTTACCTCTCAGGAGTATTATGAAGATTGGTTCATATTCAAAAGTCCTTTTAGATCCTCAGACATAAGGCTCTATGGAAATATAGAAATATATACAAATATAAAGCAGGAGCATGCATTAGCAACAGTAATATTCTGTCAGGAAGTCACTGATGATTAAGTGTAAAGCTTGCAGAGTTAACTGTCCTATATGTAGATACATAATGGCTTCCACCCTTTACTGTCTGTTATACACAACCATGTTTGATGCATTGATTTTTATTTGTACTGAGCATTTTCTCTCTTTTTAAGGATCCACAACACACCCCTGCACCATACATTTACATATTGTAAAGTGGTGGATGAACAGTAGCACATACAGAGCTGTGTACAGTATATCTTGCTTACAGGAATGTTACTTTAAAATAAGAAATAAGTTTACCAAAACCCTTTTCCTGTGCTTTGATATTATTGTGCAACCCTGGCTACATTTGTTTCCCTTAGATGACTGTGGAATTTTCTTCTATGTAATAATACAGTGTCACACACAAAGTGAAATGTGTCTGAGCCATGCCACAAAGTTTTAGGACTGGTTCACACTACATGGTTAGGCAGCTTATGTCATCCGAATTATGTCAATGTCTACACTACAGCCTTCCTCCCACCAGTGTAAATGTCCTACTACACCGACATCATAAATTCCCCTCCACAAGAGGCGTAAGTCTTATGTCGGTGTAGTTAGGGTGATGCAGTGTCTGTGTAGACACTGCATTCCTTACATTGGCTGTTGGCTGTCTTGTTAATTTCATGGCAGGAGCTGTGAAATTGACAAGAAAGCCAGACAGCTAAAGGCCCCCCTGCCCCTGGAGAGCTTGGTGGTTGGACCCTGCTCCCAGCTGGGAGCAAGGGCAAGAAGCCCTGTGCAGCCACCGCTCCCAGCTCCTGATGGGGAATGGGAAGTTGCGGGGGAGCCCGCCAGGAACTGGTGGGGTAGCTGGACTCCCAGCAGGGAGTTGACAGCAGAGCTTAGAGACCAGGCTCTCAGCTCCCCACACTGCCTCTCTTAGGTCAGGGGAAGTGCTCCTGGTGAGGACGCGCACCAGTGACCCAAGGAGAGTAGTGTGGACATGAACCACCTCAGTAATTACTGCAGCGGCTGTAAGTCAACCTATATTAGGTTTCTCATGTAGGCATCCCCTGAGAGAGATCACATCACAGAGGAGGAGTGGTTTCTGAGGCAAGGGGGTGTTGTCCCCCCCGAACTCATGTAATAAGATTCTCTGGACCCTGATTCTTAAGCAGGCTCAAGTACAGCAAGTGTCACCCGTAAGCGATCTAAATACACAACTCATTTCAAACTCAGAGAGTAGATAATTGGAGAGAGGGATGAGCCTTCTGAAGAGAAGGAAATCTGCTAATGTTTTCCAGCCTCCACTCTGGTTCCTTTCTCTTTAGTGTTGACTGATAGATCCAGTTTCCCTTCTTGGGTCAGATTCAGAGGAGGCAAGGCACATGCATCATCAAAACCAGGAGGCTGAAACCTCGTCAGCCACAAGCATTTTTAAAACTTGCTCTAGAAGCAGTGGCACATCCAAATGAGAGCAGTGCCACATCCCGCATTGCCAAGGCTCCTTCCCCACTCTGAACTCCAGGGTACCGATGGGGGGACCCGCATGAAAGACCCCCTAAGCTTGTTCTTACCAGCTTAGGTTAAAAACTTCCCCAAGGTACAAACTTTGCCTTGTCCTTGAACCCTATGCTGCCACCACCAAGCGTGTTAACAAAGAACAGGGAAAGAGCCCACTTGGAGACGTCTTCCCCCAAAATATCCTCCCCCCCAAACCCTACACCCCCTTTCCTGGGGAAGCTTGATAAAAAATCCTCACCAACTTGTACAGCTGAACATAGACCCAAACCCTTGGATCTTAAGAACAATGAAAAATCAATAAGGTTCTTAAAAGAAGAATTTTAATTAAAGAAAAGGTAAAAGAATCACCTCTGTAAAATCAGGATGGTAAATACCTTACAGGGTAATCAGATTCAAAACATAGAGAATCCCTCTAGGCTAAACCTTAAGTTACAAAAAGACACAAAAACAGGAATATACATTCCATGCAGCACAGCCTATTTTACCAGCCATTAAACAAAAGGAAATCTAACGGATTTCTAGCTAGATTACTTACTAACAGAAGTTCTGAGACTGCATTCCTGATCTGTTCCCAGCAAAAGCATCACACAGACCCTTTGTTTCCCCCCTCCAGCTTTGAAAGTATCTTGTCTCCTCATTGGTCATTTTGGTCAGGTGCCAGCGAGGCTGTCTTAGCTTCTTAACCCTTTACAGGTGAATGGGTTTTGCCTCTGGTCAGCAGGGATTTTATAGCACTGTATACAGAAAGGTGGTTACCCTTCCCTTTATTTTTATGACATATATAAATTAAGGGAGTTGGCCTGTCTCACCAGTGTGGTAAATAATGCTCCTTGGACTAAAGTAGCTCCTCCTAGGGTTTCTGTTTGCAATCAGTGAATCTGTGTGATATTAATTCATCCATCATTTTGTAATAGCAAGCCACATGTATCAAGCCTCCCTCAGTCTCTGCAATGAAGGGACTTACAAACAGTATCTGTGCTTGTTGCATCAGCCAATACCTCTTTGTCCTTGTGCTTTCTGATTTTGTTAATCGGACATGGGAGAGGAGGTTCCTCAGAATGATCAGGCCAGATCCTGAGATCCTCACTCCATTTTTACTCAGGCCAATTCCCACTGGAGGCACAGGCTCAGTGCACCTCCTGAAGAAATGGCTCTTATAGGGCCCCAGCTGGAGTTTAAAGTTCCTTCTCCAAAGGCTGAATTCTCATTCAGGAGATTCCACAGAGTCCAAGGCCAGAAGGCAGCAGTGTGATTGTCTCGTCTGACCTTCTGTAGAACACGGGCCATAGGGATTGCCTGTATTAAGGTCGGTATCTAGGCTTTGGGACTGCGCTCATCACCATTGTATCCGAGAGGTGTACACGTTTTTAAAACTCTTCACTTTCTGTTCGTAACAGGGCATACAGCTTTTCACATATGCCCAGATCCCAGTACACATTTACATGTGTCGTACATGCTTTGTGTTGGGTATGTGGGGTAGCAGTCAAACGCTGTGCCAAAAATAGGGTTAAAACTTTATCTTCAAGGCCTAAGCTCATGGTCTTCAAAGAAGTTCACACAATTAGTAGTTTTGACTATTTATATAGCACCAGTATTGTTCTAGTGGATGCTTTAGAGACAACTATGGATACAAGGTCTTTGCCCCTGAAAGCTCAGTAGAGATGGGGAGAGAGGCGTAACAAAATCAAAGTGATTAAACCCTGCCTTTGTCAAAATGCAGCAAATATTTATTGACAGGCATATGTGATTGAATGATGGTATCCAACATGAGCTTAACAAACAAAGACAAGTTGGCAAAAACTCCCCTGCCCCAGAAGAGAGGGTGATTTCTAATCAAACGTTTAGTTCTTTCTTTTCCCACATGCTCATCTAATTTTTGTTTCTGCTTGTGCAGTTCTTATTTTCGCCACATCAGAACTCAATCTTTAAAAGTTAAGGAAATGTTCAGATCTGGACTTCCCAGTTCATAATATGTGTTATGCAGAATTCAACCCAAATTCCTGTCTTTATGCATGATGCCTCTCTCCTCAGCCTTTTGAAAAGCTGACATTGGTCGGTTTCATATCCCCTGTAAAGTTTTTCTAGGAAGTCCTTTTGCCTCTAAATTCCAGGTGGCAGATAAACTTTTAAAGGGGAAAAGGTCATGTTACTTAGTGGGACCCGTGTTTAGAAAAATATAATTACTGCCTTTGTCTATCAAATCTATTTCCTGGAAAATAACCACCTCTACTTCCAAGACTTCACCCTGCTTTCTGAATCCTGCCACTTGGTTGGGTATAACATTTGTTGAAGATCTATTCTTTTTAATACTCTCAAATTGTTCATGAACCAATCCTTATTTCTATGAATGTCTTAATTGTAAGTAAATGCCTAGTAGTTTTTGGGAACAAATTTCAGCCTATGGGTATCATCATCTATTATTGACTACTCGTGGTGTGTGGTTCTTGATCTGCGTCACAATGCATTATTTCTTCTCCCCAATTGAATGTTTAAACAAGAGAATAACAAGTGACTAATAACAGCAGATAGTGAATAGTTCACTTTGGTCTGAATCTTTAGATTAATCATCCCCAGGCTAAAATGTGCAAAACATTTGGGATTTTCAAACTTTTTCCCAGCTATACAACAGCCATCCAAATACTCACAAACACTGTCTGATATTACCCCACAAGTTAACTGTAAACTGAATTCTTGGCTTCCATTGCCCAAAACATTTGCAAATCCATTATCATATTAGGCACCCAGCTCTAGTTGAGTAAGAACCCCATATTCAACTGTGGGCATCCTCCCAGGATGTCCAGCCATCACATTTGGATGAGTTAAGTGCCCATCTCTGTCTCCGTGATAAGTCCAGCCTCCCAGTGCAGAATATGGACATCCTACTAAATCTCCCACATTTGAAAACTAGGCTTATTGTGTTGAAATTCAGTCACAGCTGCTTATAATGTCCTTGTGTCATGGTGGTCTGTTGCTTCAAGAAGAATTAGGCAAAAGTGTGGCAAATAAGTAGTACCCTGGAGAAGGAAACTGATAAAAACAGAACTTTAAAGGAGAGAACTAGATGATCCTGATGGTCACTTTTGACCTTAAAGTCTAGAAGATGCTAACTGTTTGAAAAGGGGAAGCAACAGCAAGTGCTGGCCAGGACACAGATCAACCTTGGAAATAACATCTGTTGTAACTTTGTTTTGGAATTTCATAAACCTAACATTTCTTAAAGTCGGAGTCCACCCTAGCATGGCACCAGTGCAACCAAAGAAAGTTCTTCTTGATCCAAGTTAATTTTTTCCAATTGTTTCTATTTCACTCACAAGAGAATATTACAATTATGCTATGGCAACACTAGAGAGCTCTCCCATCGACTTAATTAATCCACCCCAAATGAGCAGTGGTGGCTGTCCACACCAGCGCTTACATTGGTGTAATTCACATTGCTCAGGGGGGTGGCTTATCCACACCTCTGAGTGACATCAGTTATGCCAACCTAAGCTGTAGTATAGACATAGCCAAAGTGTAACAGCAGGAGAACTCCATGCATATTAATGTCGTGGTCACATGGCTGCCATGCACACAAAGTGTACCACACTGCCTTTTTCTTACCAGAGCTGCCACTGGGTTAATATGACACATCTGATTACGCATGAACTCGTTTAAGGCCTTGTCTGCACTGAAAAGTTTTGCTGATTTAACTAGACTGTTAAAGTTACAGCAGCCCTACTACCCCAGAGTGGAGTCAGGTATACTGGTAAAAAAGTGCTTATACCAGTATTGCTCATTCTGCTTTGAGAAGTGA